GTCCATTTTTCTTCAAACTGACTAAACAAATCGCGAGCGCGGCTTTATATACCCTACACCAGAAGTACCTAGAATGTTCTACAACATTCTAGAATATTATCGAAAAAATTGATTTTAAAAAGGAAATGTTATAGATTTTTCTAGTGTGTCTCATTACTTTTGTGCCAACCCAATATATACCTTTAAGATATTGAAAAAAAAAATCAATTTCGAATTTCGAAGTCAACGCCGCCTTACAATACGGTCTAAATCTTGATCTCTTAATTTCAAAATATAACGTAATTTTGTAAATTGATTCAAATTCATACATACCTCCCGTGATAACCACTACACAATTAAAGAGCTCGATGGCGTAGTGGTAAACGCGGTCGGTCAGCGATACGGAAGATAAGAAACTTTCTTAAGGACCAGTCCTAGAACGGGTGACCAAAAATTTACTATCTCGAGCTCCTCCGTGTTTCGGAAGGCACATCATTGTCATCACCTTCAGCCCTTTTATGTTCCCAGCTCAGCCATTCCTTATAGATGATGGTATAGGAGGATGGGCCATGACACTCCAAGCTGGCCCACTACGGTTTGGAGGGTATTATCGACAGCAAATTTAGCCAGAACCTGCGGCTTAACGTGCCGTAGGGCGGCATAGCTAGAGATAATATTTTTTTGGTCACCCATCCCGTGACCGACCCTTGCGTAAATTGCTTAACAACAACGATCACGATCGTTTATACCCTCCAATCCGTAGTATGTCAGCTGCGCTTACAGTGGTTAACACACACCAATCCACACTAGTCTCGCGTGGTTCATCATCACTCACTCTTTCTTTGATTCTATTCGATTTCATCCATACGGAGAGTCTGTGTCCGAGCAATGAGGACCAATAATCACCAGCCGGTGATAATAATGATGACATACCACCATGGGAAATAATATCCCCGTTTTAGTATCGGGACCACCATTTCAAAGGTCGCTCTATTTTTACTAAAAATTTAACTCTTTATATATATCATCTGGGATTCGAAGAAATTGTACCTTCGTTTTTTTAGATTTCCACAATGCAAAAGTTAAGCCACTCGGGATCTGAGAAAAGTATGTGTTTCTATCTAATTTTATTTATATTCTGTTTCTAGCGTCTTGAATATACGTGACGTCACAACTCAATCTCAAATACAGTCTACTATTACTCTAGTAGAATTAAAAAAGTCCAATAGCTGTTGTGAAGATGAGTACGATCCACTAGTGCACAGGGATCTCGCGCATCCCACATCGTAAGTATATAATTAATGGTATTATACTTATATAACTATAAAATAATCACTAAATATCTTGTGAAAAATAATAAAATACCTATAACCGATAAAGCTATTTCTGTTAAATTAACATGACACCTGAGGGCCTTTTCTAGTGGGCCTCTAACGAAAATTCGAAAATTTTTGATTCTTTCTTATTTTGCTTAAAATTGTATCTGTTAAGATCATCTATGCATCAGAGGCAGTGTTGGGTTGTATCTCCGTTACGGCATAAATTACCGAAAAAAATATTTCTTTCGGAAGTTCTTATTTTAAAAAAAGAGAGCGAAATATAGTTATTATAGAATAGGCCTTTAGGTGTCATGTTAATTCTCACGCGTGGAAAATCTAAGAAACGTTATAACAGGTAACCCTAATACAACAGCGTATCCATATTACCTAAACACAAATTTTTCCTTAATCAGGTAGTTGCACAAACGTCCATTAAAGTTGATATAATTTAAAGCGACATTACCCATACAAATTTGACATTCATTATAGCTTAAAGGCGCCATTAAACCTTAATGGACGTTTGTGCAACTGACCAAATAACTGTTATACGAATTTAGCTATCTTAGCGAACTCACACATATAGTGTATAGATTAATCTCTTCAGATACTTTCGTTTTAATACTAATTTCGTTTATTAGGTTATAAGTGATGATGAAATTTAAAGTCAATCGTAAAGCGACCTCCCATCTTCCGATAACCCTTTTCGATCATAGTAAACGAGGATACATTTTCTGGTATAACACTTTTGAGGTATTGAACTTCAGTATATTTCGTCCACTTCATATTACCATCACCAGTAACCTATGTTAAAATTTATAATTTCCCATATAAACCATTCATAAATGTCAAAATCACTGACTAGACGCTTAATGGCACACTCGTTTCATCCAAATATATAAAATTGTAAATGAAAAATAAAATGCCAAGAAACACGTACGCAGCGACAAACCAATGTCTGGTTAATATTGAAACGTGATAATAAGATCACTGGGACAGTTAATATTAAATAACAATATGTGCCGATTCACAATCAACTCTGCAAACATTTATCTAGATCCAGGATAGTATTTACCATTATGCGAAAAAAGGCCATGACCCGGGGCGATAGGCTACGAGGGGTAGTGTAAGCAGTGTGTATTCCTTTGTATTGGCCATTTTATTCTGTTCTTTTAATGATATAAGGAGACATTTTTTCCCATATCATATAGAATTTCAATTTGCTTATAACTAGCAAGTTATACATATTTGCTTCTATACATTTAAATATATTTTTAAGGTGGCTCAGCTTAAAAATTATACCCTTTACTCTTTTCCACCATGTTAAGAGTGCGTAATATACTTTTTTTCTCCGGATCAAACAAATAGAAAAAACAGTTTCTAAACCGAACAGCTAGGGTGGTAAAAGGCCCGAGGCGCTGAACCAACACGTACACCACTGTCTGCCTCGCTCCTAACTTCGGAAAATAATTATATTAACCCTCATAACCCATATCCTGCCAGTTAACGAGATAGCCATAAACAAACAATAAGCTTATTGTGCGGCATAAAAAGGGTCAGAACATTTTTAATTAACTGCCTACTAACCATTACAATTATGTTAATCCACTCTTGCTAACTTTTAAAAGCGACTCAAATTACAATTTGACTTTGATGCCACGATGCTATCACTTTAAATGTAATAAAAATGTAATCTAGAAAATACTAATTAGCATCGTCTGAAAACTTAGTTCTGGCCCCCAAACAAAATCACTTTGCCATCTAATATTTTGTATAGATATTACAAAGTACCCAGACGCTGTTAATGGCCTGTTTAATTAGAGTGGGTCACTTTAGTTTGGAAAAAAATAAAAGTTTGTGAATAGATTTTTCAAATAGTAATATTATGTTGTAGGTAGTATGCTATTATAAGTAGTTTAAGCGTAAAAACGGATAATTAAACATACATCTATAGTCCGCGCATGCGCAATGAAATTTTGAGTTTTTGAAAAAAAAAACACTTTATACGAAATGTCATAGTTATTTAATAGAAATTTCTTAAAATACTATTAGAACTTAACAAATATTTAGAGAAAGACATATATTAACGTTTGAAACATAAAAATTAAACTAATACATGTTAATATTTATCAAAAACAAATATTTATTCTATACAATCCCGCCTACTATCGGATTTCGGCATAACTGTCCTTGAAGCAAGTTTTGCATTAATCACATCTCTTGTTTTTTTTTTTATCACATGCCGACTTTGCAGCTTCTGTCACTATCTTTACACTTCGTTCAAATGCTTGTGTATGGCAAGGCACTTTTTGCTCTATAATCTGAATAAGTTCGTCTTTCCTTTGATTTCTTAGACTGGGGTCAATGTTGGTTTCTAGCCAGTTAATTAAACCAATATAACATTTAGCATCAAAATTAAGTTTAGGCTCTTCAAAAGTGCGTGGTAGTTTTCAAGATATAAAATATATATGTAAATTAAACCTGTGTGATAAAAATACGTTTATTTCTACAAAGGCACTTTAGACAAAGAGTTTTCGGCCACTCCAAAAACTTTGTGTATATTTACTGGTCACTAAAAGAAGCGATGTAAAAATAAAAAGACTACGTCGCCCAGATGAATTTTTAAATTATTTTTATAGTAATGCTGCCAATTACACGCTGCGCACACCTTACCCACACGACTCTACAGCTTTTCACCGAGTAGGCCTTTTTCAGCTGTTCTGAGTATTTCAAGACACAAAACTAAAGCCTTTATATAGGAAACTGCAAGTTTTACTTTAAGATGCATCGAACTATATGAGAAAGTTTTCTCACAAATTTAACCATTTAATTATTCGACATTCAAAAGAGAAGTAATAAAAGTCCTCTCGGCTCGATGTCAACAAATCTTTTTATTCTACAAAATCGAAATGAACTGTGGTTTTATTCCTTTTTATTATCTCTCTAATCTATTTTTGTATTTACTGTATTCAGAAGTATATATGAACTCAACATATTTGTAATAATTTCTCCACAGATGAATTCATTCGAATGGCAATATTTTTTTTATAACTCCTATGTCAATAAGAGATTAATTTTGATCAGACTTTCTTATTATTATTTGGTCAGAGTAACTTGAAATATCACTAAAAAGATAACAATTATATTTTGTTATTTGTGTTCAAACATATTTATATTATGCTATAAATGATAATAAGAAACATAAACCCAAATCCCCTTTGGGAAATTCGATAATGAAACGCTTCATTAGAGCCTCTAGAATAGATTTAATCCTGAACAGTTTTCTGCTTGTTAGCGTAATGAGGTTTAGTTTGTTAACATCTTTTTTACCTAACAAAAGATGCGTTGTATCTTGATTTATAAGAAATTAATTCAGTCCAATCACAGAACGTAGATCTACAAAAAAATAAAAGTTACATGGGTCTTTGAAATGTATCTATAAACTAACGGGATTTGATTTGATAACAGTCTAGGGCTATATAAGGAGAATGTTTCTTTTTTGGTACTTTATTCCGAAAAAATCTAACCACAAAATATTAATATAACAAAATATTTCCATTGATGTATTCAGAGTTATAAATAACTATTTATAAATACGTAGGAAAATCGGATCAAATTCAACCACTTGTTTCTTTTGATTTTATCAAAAAGGGTAATGTGTGTGTTGTTTTATTAAGGGCATTAATCTTTCAATTTGGTTTTCAGAACTATCGGCTCGTTCTTCCACTTGCTGAAGTCTTCACTAGGCACCGGTTTGCTGGCAATGCCGATGGCTTTCAAATCGACAGGCCTTATTCCTGGAGTTATTGGGACCATATTTGTCGCAGTTGTAGCAACACATTGCGTACATATTCTGGTAAGAATTCTATACCATTGAGAAAATAATATACACCCGTGTCACACACTTCTGTGTGATCACGACGAGGCTAACTACGGACCTCATCATTAGGCTCAAAGCCACTGAGAAGGCAATGGAAAAGACTATCGGAATTTCTCTCCGATATATAATTAGAAAAGATGAGAATCAAAGGATTCTCATCTTGGCAACAGGTAGGGCTCATAGGTAATGATCAATAGGAGTGATAAGTAAAATCATCAAGAAAGCGACTACGTACTAGAAAGCGTATACAGGCTTAAGAGAATCCTAACTTCGTCATAATCAGTTCACCAGGACTATCTAACACACAACATAAAACGTACACGAACAAAAATTCTCAAATGTTCTTATAATTTTGTTACAATCTCGTATCGAATAAGAATTATCTGTACATCAGAGACTTTGTCTCGGTTGCATCATAAATTATGGAAAAATGCGTTTCTCTGGAGTCATATTAACGTTTCAAAAATAGACGGAATTTCTTTCTCGGAGAAACAGATTGGGCCTTCTGCTTAGAATCATCGGAAAACGATGGGTGAGTGGTGAATATACGATGGCGCGGCTTTTTCCGTCACTAGGCTTCTTCCGATATGATAATATGCCATCACATTTAACTTTCTGTTTCCTTTTATTTGCTGAATGTCATTGCTTTTCATGAAATTGTAAATGACTTCTGCATGCCTGTTTCCATCCAGTAAAATATACTCAATTAAAGGCAAGGAAAGTACTACCTATGATTTATCTAATAAATGGTAATAAACGTTACATTAGTATATGTTTCGTTACATATATATGTTTTTACCTAATATAAAACTATAAGAACACAGATTTTTTGCTAAGATACCAACAAGGTTTTCACTTATCCAAAAATAAATAAAAAGTAAAGAAGAATGTAGCTTAGGATTTACTTGTAGCATTTTGTAAATGTTAAATAATCCCTCTTCATAGTGGCAAAATACGAAGTGGTACCTTGATGGGAATCAAATATTAAAACTGAATTGACGTTCTAGTTTTCATTTTGAATCACAAACATAATTGGAAAAATGTCGGAAAGTTAAATTATATAACACATTTGAAAAATACTATGTAAATTTGTATTTAATAATAAATACACTGTATAATACGAGTATTTCATCATCATCATCCTACTAATTTCAACACTGTGGGTGCAAAAGCCTTCCTTGTTATAGGATATTATGGGTCCGAATCAAACAAAACAAACGGAAAAAACCCACTACGCAGACCCAGTGTAGGTTCTATGGCGTGCCTTTCAAAGCACGGAGGAGCTAGACGTAAAAAAATTTTGGTCACCCATTCTATGACCAGCCCTTCCGAAAGTTGCTTAACCTACTAATCGTTGACCGGTTGCGTTAATGCTATAATACTAAGTAAAACTATAAGAACTCAGATTTTTAGCTTTCAGCTTATTAACTTAATATTAGAACTATAATACTAAGAAAAAAAGCTGAATCATATTATTTATATTTAACTTTTCAGTATTATTTTATCGCCAACATATTTATGGTTGATGTACTATATAATGTTATCTTTTCTCTTTATAACATTACATAGTATAATAATTGTTTACTTATTAGCATGTATTTAACTGCTGAACCGATTTATACGTGGCTATAATTAACGCGTGCGAAATCGTGGGAAACAGCTAGTGTACGTACTTATATTTTTGGATATATTTCTCCTACAGCAAAAACTACAGCGCCTCAGAAATCGTATTACAAACAATTATAATAAATCCAGACACGATTTTAACCTAGTATTCTTATCACATTTAAAGATAATGGAATAGTTAAACATTATAATAGGGGAAACGGTATAGTTATTGGCCAGTTAAGCGACTTCAATGTAGAAAGCGGGACGTAAAAAAATAAATGAATATTTGTAATAAATAAAAAGTTGTTTCACGGAATCTATAGAACTGTATTTATTAATTTTCTTTGTTTACCTACATTATTTTAATATATTGTCTAAATAAAATCAAATTAAAAGCAAAAATATAAATTTTACAGTTATTGGCCGCATTATAGCAGTTATTGGCCTTGAGATCGTACAGTAATTAGCCATCTTTGAAACATAAAATAAAATAAATTTAAACATCAAAAATAATCATTTTCAATAATTAAAATATACCTATATCCTCTTGAGTACTCTCATACTCAGACAACTCAGAATCATCGTGTAACAAATAACATTTATGGCATATAAAATCAGAAAGCTCATCTTGATCCGGAATGTGTTCCTGGTGTTTATTAGGAATGCACTGAGGATGGTATGATTTCTGACAAGAGCTACATAATAAGGACTTATGTTTAACTGCTAGACGATGGTATGAATCACAGGTCACTACTAAAAGGTTTTGTAATATCTTTGGTTTATTTCTATCTTTATTTAAATTATCTTTTCCATCACTACATTCTTCACCTTTCATTTCCTTGTTTTCATTTACCTCATTGGCATCTTTTTAATTTCAATCGTTTCATTTTTTTTGTCGTATCCATCACTCACGTTTTCCTTTTTTGTTTTCTTCCCTACACTTTAACCTTTTTTTGTCTTCATAAGAGCAAGTTCTTTCTTTGCGGTTGCTTGTTCTTCTCTTTTCTTTTCCTTTCTATTTTTTCATTCTCTTTTTGTTGCTTTTCAATTTCCTTTTTCTCAATAGCTGCTCTAAACTGTTCGGATGTAATGACAAACGGCTTTTTTTCTATGTTTCTGACGAATTTCCGTTTATTTTCCGGCGCATTTGACAGGTAATCATTTATTGATTTTCTGATAAAAGAAGTATCGTATGAGGTACTAGGCGTGGTCAAATCTACAGGAGTTTTAGTGGGTGTCATAGTAATTTGTAGGATAACTGGTTTACTGATGTTGTTTTCCTCAAGGTATGGCGCCAATATGTCAGTGACAAACTGATTAAAAACATCTGCAGTCATCTATCCTGTATCACTCCGTCCGATACCCCAATGTGGCGGCACCGACGACGCAATTTTTTCCGGGAGTCGTTTGTAAGGAAATACTATTAACGGAGGACATGTTCTTCCATCAGCAGAAAATGTGAACAGTAATGTGATATTTTCTTTGGTGTTTCCTTGTTCTACGGCATAAACATTTTTATCACCTTTAGCTGCAAGAACTCTACCTGTAGAAGGACAAAGCTGAAAACCTGTTTCATCAGCGTTAAAAACACGTTGTGGATCTTGAATGGCCTCCAATAGGTTTTCAGTAGTAAAATAATCCTTGATTTCTGCGAACCATTTTTTTATATCGCTCTCAGCCACGCAGGCACTAGCTTAGAAACGCCCTCACTGGTTCTTTGACTGATATCGGAATGACGTTTTAAAAAAGCTCTCAGCCAGCCTTGACCAGGCCTATTGTTATTAAACGGAGTATCGCGTGGATTTGCAGTCAAAAATTTTTGAACAGTATCGAGAACATCATCCGCTTTTCTCGGAAAGCCTTTGCGAGACCTTCTGACTAACCAGTTTTTATTTGTATCTTCCTCTTCATAAGTTAAGTATGGCATTGGCCCAAATTGAGATCTTGAAGTAGGATTTTTTTATTTGAACTGTAGAGTTGCTCTTGGAATATTGTACTTCTTTGCAACTGCTCTCAAAGACATCGTTTTGTCATTAATTTTTTCCAATGCCTCATCAAGAGCTTCTTTTGTGTATTGGGGTTTTTTTGGCATGGTGTGTTTTTTACCAGTCTACCTATTGGAGTAGAAAAAAACGATCATTGAATTTTAAAAAATACGTAAAAAGTTACACAGTAATTGGCCTATTTTTGTATTGGTTAGTAATGTAAGTGGCACAGTAATTGGCCTAGGCCAATAACTATTTACAGTCCTCTGAAATACTATGGAGATTGAACTGACCGCATAATTTTAAAAATAAGACGATAACTCTCTATTAGAAACGCTCTTTACTAAGTATAGAATAAATATAGTAATGGGCATAAGAGGCCAATTACTATAAATTGAAAAAAATACAGTGACAGTTACTGGCCATAACAATATTTTAGGTTATAATCAATTTTTTCTTATATCACACCTTAAATCCGCTAATTAAACATACAAACTACATATTTTATAGGTTTTCAGTTACTTTACTACATTCATGTTTCTAAAATTATCATACTTAAAATATCTAATGTCTTACAAAATTTAAATTAAACTTACTTATTTTTGCTCCAGTGCCACAAAATCACAAATCACAAAAAGACCGTTACACCTAACAAAACTTTTTTGGCGTTATTTGACAGTTAGTTACAGTGTTGCCAACATAAACTTTCTGTATCTTACCTTCGTTAGCTTAGTTGGTAGTTTTTTAATAATTAAATTTAATTGGCCAAGTACTATCTGAGGGCCAATAACTATACCGTTTCCCCTACTCATTAAAAACGACATAAACTCTCCAATTTCAAGTAGTAAACTTTAAATAGGTAATTCAAGAGAGAAAGTGGTTTAATTTGTTTGCTCTGTCAAGAAATGTAGCTGTTATATTATTTTAAGTAGGTATCTTAAAAACTAAAATGAAAGAAATCCATATATTATCCATAAATGGTGAGACAGCGCGAAGTCCGAGACTTCTGCCAGCTGAGACTGTCCACGAATGGTATAGTCTTCTTTGTGTATTTAATACACGTGTTACGGAAAATTGTAATTAAAATTTTGCGGTTCAATAACGAATTAATCTTTGTTTTCTTAATAAACCCACCATGGCGTTGAAGCGATTTCAGGTCGCATGCCATACAACCTTTTTTTAGCGTCATGTGTCCCGCGGCGGCGACACACGGCCAGTTGCACAAACGTCCATTAAAGTTTAATGACGACTTTAAGCTCTAATGAATGTTCCAAATTTGAATATTTGTATGGGTAATGTGGCGTTAAACTAATGAGAATTTTAATAAACATATATGCAACGGGCTAACAGAGTAGCAAACCCACGAGAAATATGTATAATTTTTTTGCAAACTGCCGAAAGCATACCAAAATTTATTTTAAGAAAAAATAACTTAGAATGTTTAGATGTTTGGATGTTTGGATGTTTGGATGTTTGGATGTTTGTACGTCAATCACGCCGAAACTAATGAACGGATTTTGATGAAATTGGGTATACAGATAGAGTATTACCTGACTTAGATAATAGGATACTTTTTATCCCACCGAAAGGTTCCCTAGGGATAAAAGTACCTCCAACGGCGCCTATTTTTGTGAACGCTGCCCAAACGGTATGAGATATACTAATGCTTTCTAAAGAAAAGTTGGAGAGCCTTAAATTATCTATAAAAAAGTCCGCGATGTCATATATCTATATGCAAGGGTTTTGCCACAAAAATAAAAAGAACTTTATATAAGTCTATTTAAATTTTTCGTCCGTCTTTAAACGTTTATTTGAGTAGGTGATATTAAATCCTTATCGAAATAAATATGTTTATCGTCGAAGAAATTTAATATACATGAAAATTGTCTTTTACACTATGTAGATTGGATAAGTAGTTTAGATTTTAATACGATGTTTTTGAGAAAATAAAACAACGTATATTGCCGATTTTCTAAACACTATTTTATGTACATGTATGTATTAAGATAAAACAGCATTTTTAATGTAATCGATAATATTAAGCCCAACAGATGGCATTGCTTGTATTCTACATTGCGATGTTGAATTACCGCAACTACTTGGATTTAGATGACTGTGACTCTGCGGTGCGATTCAATAATCTCTTCGTTGTAAGTGATTTCTGCGTTGTCAATTGGTTCTATTTGTCGATTGGGCTATTCTAACGGACTTGACTTGACATTTTGTGTGATTTTATCTCAAATAACTTCTATATTTTCTATCTATTTAGCAATTCTCTAACTTTACATATTTATATTAAGATCTGTATCTAGCTTAACAAATCTACTACTCAATTAACTCTTTGTTTATTGCTTGGGTCTACCTCTGAATCTTGCAAGTCAAGAAAACCCAACGTGCAACATTAGCAAAAACAGCGACCGCGGTGCCCTTTTGCAACAATGTAAATTAATCGTGTAGGACGAGTGCACAATGTCGCACAAGCGCGTGGTTGAGGCTTTGAATCGGAGCCTGCAGGACATCCGCAGCAATGGGACGCTGATGGGAGGTGCGGTTGTTGTACTCACTGGAGATTTTCGGCAAACTCTTCCAGGCAAGTTATCGAAAAGGGTACACCGGCAGATGAAATGAACGCGTGTCTCAAGGCTTCGTCACTTTGGTCCAACGTAGAAAAACTCCACCTTACTCGGAATATACGTGCACAACCTTACAATGATACAGAGTCAGGTGCGTTTGCGAGTAAGCTACTCGAGATCGGAGATGGTAGGCTGAAAACCGATCCGGACGGCAAAATCATTTTCACCAATGAATTTTGTGCTACCGAGGAGGAACTACTCGCCGATGTATTTCCCGATTTAAAAAACAAATTAAATAATGAGGAGTGGTTGTGTGAGAAAGCAGTACTGTCGCCAAAAAGTAAATTAGTGAATAAAATAAACAACAAGGTATTAGATGTAGTAGATGGCGCATCGAGGGTGTACACGTCCATAGACACGGTGATGGCAAGCGATGACAGCACTGCGTATCTCGTGGAGTTTCTCAACTCATTAGAATTGACCTGCGTACCGCCCCACAAGCTGGAGCTGAAGGTTGGCGTCCCAGTTGATGCGTAATCTTGACGCTCCGCGATTGTGCAACGGCACAAGATTACAAATCAGCGAATTGGGAAAAAACATTCTGCAAGCAACAATACTTACGGGAGCAGCTAAAGGCGTGAGCGTGTTGATTCCCCGCGTACCCATTATACCCCACAATTTATCTATTTAGTTCAAAAGGCTGCAGTTCCCATTGAAATTGGCATTTGCTATGACCATCAATAAGTCCCAGGGACAAACCCTAAAAGTGGCCGGCATACATTTGGGCATTCCCTGCTTTACCCATGGCCAGCTCTATGTGGCATGTTCTCGAGTGTCAAGTGCAAGGAACCTGTATGTACTTGCTGCAAATAATAGATCATACAACATCGTATATAGATCAATATTATAAGATAGTCATAATCGATGTTGTATGATTTATTATTATCAAAATCTGTTCAGTGGTTGCAGCGTGATTGACTAGCAAACATGAAATTGTTAATGAAAAAAAACTAGAAGTTAGTTAGGTCAGATTTACTTTACTCTGGATATACCTACAGAATTATTTAAATTATTTTTTATCTCACTAAACATTTCCTTAGGAACCACGCGGGCGAAGCCGCTGGCGAAAGCTAGTAATCAATATAGAAAAGATAAAATCTCTGAAACCAAAAGAACATTATAGATTTTTTAGAAAGGCCGAAAGACTACTATGCTATTGCAATCTATTGCCTAAAAAAACCACTTTGTCCCCGGGCACTCTGAGATGGAGTTCAACTCCACGACCTTTCGCAAACCAGGTGACTGCTCTAACCACTGAGCTACCTAGAACCTAACAGGTCTTATGAATGTTTCAAACACTGGTTACTTTTGCGCTACTACAGAGCGTATTTTCATTAATGTTCAGGCAATCCTATATTACAACTATTTTTTTTAATATTTGAAACTTTCGATAAAGATGAAAAGTTCTAATTCTAATAATATTTGATCTATTTTGCATCACAATAATATACTGAAAAATGTTATTAAAAATGCTTAAAAACCCACTTTGTCCTTCAAGGTCATGGCTTCGAGTCCCATCTCAGAGTACCTGGGACAAAGTGAATTTTTTAACCATTACCAACAACACTCCCATGCAAACTCTATAAATTCATACGTATAAAGCTTAGCGCGAATGCAAAAAGTTTACTACGTTGATTGGGCCGTAAATCGAACAATATAAAGTCAACATGCAATCCACTTGACTGGAGGTCGTATAATAAGCAATATTTCATTATTATCTCTGAAAGGTAATTTAAAGAAGATGGTTACTACTTTCTATGTCTGACAATCTCATTTCGAGCAATATTTCATATAGGTTCTACTTCAGTTTCCGCACTTTGTTTGATTACATAATTTCATTAAATGGAAATAGAATAGTAAGTAATTATTGTAATAGGTAAATACAAATTGGGTGAATAATCCGCGTCAAGTGTTTTACTTGCTAACCTCCTCAGCAAACTCACCGAGAAAAATCAATAACTTATGTAAACTAACTTGAGTTTGGTATGAAATGCTTATTTTAATTTGACAGTAGAATGCGTTACATCGTTTCCAACGCCAATTATAAATCTATTATTACGTGACACAAGCGTTTCATAAAATAAAACCTACGCCGATGCACGTAGGTGTAGAATAAGTCTCTTAATTCAAATTCTTGCAACGCAAATTCTTTGCATAATTTGTTCTTCGGGCTATGTAGCCCGGAATGTTACAGAAGGAAAATGTGTATTTTTTATGTTTCCAAGAAAAAATTAATTAACTTTTGTGAGCCGGTAAGCGATCCATAATTTTGGATTGAGAGGTGCTCCAGATGAATAAAAAACCACACGAAATTTTATTTCGCTTTATGCACAGCACTTCCCTAACTTTTTGCGACTTCTTCAATATTTTTTTTAATATTTAATGGAAGAAAAAGATTCCTTTTAAGACAAGAATAAGGAAGTGTCACTTGTAACCGCTGCCATTTTGGACAGTATCTATATTTACATAAGTCCGATAGATTAGTTATATCAGTGAGTGAATATATCATTTAATAAAGTTAAAGTTAGAATAAGAATGTTTGGCAATTTTTTGGAAGGGGATTACTATAATAAACTCGTGGAATTTATGTTTTACACAATCCATATGAGCGCCCATAAAATAAATTTATATGATGGAAATGAACTAACATACCTACTTTTTATTAATCCTATTTCCTATTAATATTTTAAATGTGAAAGTTTCTTTGTTTAGATGTTTGGATGTTTGTCGGTCAATCACGCCATAACTACTGAACGGATTTTGATGAAATTTGGTATACAGATAGGGTATTAGCTGACTTAGATAATAGGACTTTTTATCCCACTTTACATTTCCCTAGGGTCCACGCGGGCGAAGCCGCTGGCGAAAGCTAATTTACTATAAATGTTGAAACTTTGTCATGTTTTCCAGGTGAAAACTTCAAGAAACCTTTGCAAAATATGTCGGATACCTTCACTGAGTTACACTGCCACCTGTGAATACGCCTTCAAACACGGCCCGAAGCAATTAAGACAGTATTCTACTTTTGTTAGGTATGTACTAACAGAATAATTTGAACGTAAACCGTTGTAGGGGAATGTTGTATATAACTTGTCCCACCCTTTTTAACCAAGAAGGACATTAACGCTTTTTACTTTGTTTAATAACAGATTTAACACTTTCCCATTTCATTGTTTTTTATTAATAAGTATCATGTTAGGCATACAAGATTTAGTATTTACTCTATACACAAGCCCTAACAAACGTAATGTATGACTACGAGGGTCAAACTGAAAGTTCTTAGAACTGGCCACTTATAAACAATATAATAAAAAAATAATTCTAAAATTTGAAAATATAACTCTTTGCCAATATTACTGAGTATATATTTCATTCATTTGTCATTTGTTTTACGATTTGGCGGCAAATTGAAAATTGTCTGTGTCACGTCATCATGAATTTAACACGAGAAAATTTTCGTGCAATGATTTTTTATGACTTTCGATGTCATTTAAGTCAACAAGAAAGTTATGATAGACTACGATTGGCCTTTCACGATGAAGCCCCATCTCGTGCGACTGTTTACAACTGGTTTAATGAGTTTAAACGTGGTCGCACTAATCTCACTGATGAATTACGTGAGGGACGGCCTTCTACGGCGACGACTGAAGATAACATCTGTGTTGTGCGGCGTATGATAGAGACTGACAAAAGAGTGACCTATCAACAGATTCGGACAAGCTTAGGCATCGGTATGAGTCAAGTGCACAAAATCCTCCACGAACATTTAGCGGTCAGGAAGCTTTGCGCCCGGTGGATACCTCATAATTTGACTGAGGCTCAAAAACTCCATCGTGTGGATTGGTGTCGTAAAATGATTGAAAGATTTAACGGAGGTGACTCAAATGCTGTGTTCGACATACTAACAGGTGACGAAAGCTGGATTTACTGTTATGATCCTAAAACCAAAAGACAATCTGCTCAGTGGGTGTTTCCTTTCGAGGAGTTGCCAACTAAAGTGAAGAGAGATCGAAGTGCGGGAAAAAAAATGGTGGCCTCGTTCTTTGGAAGGATAAGTCATTTTGCAACAATTGTGTTAGAGGATCAAAAAATAGTTTCTGCAGAATGGTACACTACCAATTGTTTGCCACTTGTCTTGGAAAAAGTTCGAGAGAAACGACCTCGCAGTAGGATCCTCCTTCACCACGACAACGCCTCGTCGCACACCGTCAAGCGAACGATCGACTATTTGGCGACATCAAACGTTGAATTACTGGGTCACCCGCCGTATAGCCCCGACCTCGCGCCTTGTGATTTTTATTTATTTCCAAAAATTAAAGAAAAACTTAAAGGAAAGCGGTTTATGAATGCTGAAGAAGCGGTGGCTGCGTATCGCGATGCCATTGAAGAGACCCCTAAGGACGAGTGGGCAAAGTGCTTTTCCCAGTGGTTCCATCGCATGCAGCGGTGTATTGACGTGAATGGACAATATTTTGAAAAGATATAATAAAACTAATAACTGGCTAATGTAATCAGTTTTTGATTTTCTAAGAACTTTCAGTTTGACCCTCGTATTTTAGTTAAAATGCCGTTAAAGTATGTTTATGTCTTTTGACAAAACAGATAAAACAATTCTCTAACATATTCGTAAAAGATTAGGCGAGACCGTAGATTTTTTGAGATCATATACCGTGCCATTTAATGATGACGTTATCAGATTAATAGTTAATTCCGATGCACGGTCAGGTTAAAAACTTATTAATTAAATAATCAATATGTCTTTATCGTCTTGGGTCTGTCAACTTTTATTTCAACTGTCACTATGCGTCCATTCTCCGTTACCAAATGTGCAAAGCGAGTTTCATAAGGGGTGTTAAGTCTAAAATCTGTTCCTGTCGGCTGCAATGAGATGGATAAAGGCTAAGAGTGGAATTGCGCAGCAAACCCAGTTTTGATTAATTACGCTAAATTGGTGCTACTATTGTATACACAGTCGGAAACATGAAATTGAATAATAAGCCAAATCAATATCTCATGTCGAGCTGGAGCCTCTTGGACACACCACCCTAGTCCTATATGAAACTATTTGTTTGTTTTTATTCCTAACTAACAATTTGTTTTTATTCCTGTGCTATCTTTTGCTGTTATATTGTGATAATGGTGTGTTCAATAAATCATTCATTCATTCATCTCTTTGTGCATGCCTCCGACTGCATGTTATAATAAAAGGGGTTAAAATACGAAATTGCCAATTTGTACTGAAAATCATTTTTTTTAACAAATTTATTTAATCAGTATAGTTAACATTATTATCTATATATTACTGCCGTCTAATAGAAAAATCATTTATGCCTTTGCGATAGGACTCTGAGGATCTAGACTGCACGAAATGTGTGAAAGCATTTTGTACTGTCTCCTGGGAAGTAAACTTCTTGTCACGTAGATAATTGTCCAAATCATGAAAAAAGTGGTAGTCCGTTGGAGCAAGGTCTGGCGAATACGGAAGGTGACGAATGGTTTCTAACTTTAGTTCCTGAATAGTCAAAACCATTTCTCGTGCTGTATAAGTACTCGCGTTGTCATGTAGCAATAATGGTAAAGATCGATTCATGAATCGGGAATGTTTTACTGCTAGTTTCGCCAACATTGTTCGGAGTTCATTGCAATAGACATCTGCCGTCATTGCTTGACCAAATCGGAGAAAACTATAGTGAATAACACCATGCTGAGACCACCAAACAGTTACCATTACCTTTTTATTGGTAAGTTTTGCTTTAGGATACTGTTGTGGCGTTTGACCTGGGGTCAGCCATTGCATTTTTCGGTTACGGTTACCATAAGAAATCCACTTTTCATCACGTCACAATTCGATCCAATATTCCTTCATTTCTGTATCGAATCAACAAGGCAAGTTTCAACAAGCGTTTCTTTCTGCAGACAAATTATGAGGCACCCATTTTTCGTATATTTTTTTGATTTGACGCAAATGAGTCAATATTGTGAGTAAGGTAACGTTAAACCATGCCGCTAATTCCTGGGTAGGTTGACTAGGATCGGCTTCCACCATCTCTCTTAATACTTCGTTATTCACCTGTGTGGGCGGTCTTCCCTTGGCTCGTTCTTCAAGTCGAAGTTTCCATCACGAAAGCGTTTACACCAAAATCGCACGGTGCATTCATTACAGACCCTTCTCCAAATGCAACATTGATATTACGGCCGTTTCTGCCGCGTTATTTCCGCGTCGGAACTCGTATTCAAAAATCACTCGAATTTTCGCAATATCCATCTTTCATATCTAATTTGAATAACAAAAGCAATTGAAAGTCGATATTCAAATGTTTCACATTTAAAAAAAAAGAACACCATAGAAACCATATGAAAAAGGTTTCTTTCAAAAACCTCAAACAATGAAGATTCTATGTCAATTCAAAGAACCTATTACAATAAAAAGGCAATTTCATACTTTAATGATGTCGCATAATTTTTCTTTTTTGTTCCAGTCTTTTCAGTTAATTTTTTCACGCAGGCGGGTTCTTTTTACATATAAGAAAACTTTTCACGCACTACTATCCGTTTGACACTTTGTTTTGAAATAATTTGATAAATAAAACTTTAATAATATTCAAACTATATTCGAAGTACGACAATCGCGCCACCACTACTTATTATAAATTCCCATGTAAATTAAGAAACCAAGTTTCCACTCGATGCTAATCCCCTGTTGTTTCTTCCAAGGTATTTCGCTGACAGTGCCATGGCGGGCATCTGTATAGGCGGCACCAGTGTCTATGTATTATTCATAGCTACATCGCTTCGTGACGTAAGTTAATACTTATCTATACCTATATAAAAAGAGATGTCCTGACTTACTGACTGACAGACAACGCACAGCCTAAACCGCTGGTTGTAGAAACGTAAAATTTGGAGAAACGTAGAATACGGAGAGGTGTACTAAGAACGGATTTTCGGAAATTCCATCCGGAAGGGGGTCAAAAAGGGTGAAAAAGTTTGTATGGAACATTCTTTGTTTATGGACCTATTTGGTATTTGGGAAGTTTATGATCTTAGGAAGGTAATAGTTTATCCTTATCCCGAAAACTAGCACTTAAAGGGATAAAAATGAGAGTGAAAGATTTTATGGGGAATCAAAATGTTACCATAGCAACCATTGTTTACAATGTAATTTGTCATTGTAATAAATTTATCTAATATTATTTACAAAATGTTTGCGCCTTCTTGGCGCAATGGAATTTATTCTGAAAAATAAACTCGATGTTTTGAGATATGACTTTATTGGCTTACAATGTTGAAGTGATTTCTGTTGTTTAACGTAAGAAGGTTGATAGGTGAATGTGAAAATATATGTGGAGATCATCAATGACGAAGCTTCGTTGCCTTCACTGGATGAGTAGGCGTTTTAGGCGTTTCCATACTCCCCCCCGTTGGAGACTTCAGTTCTTCAACCTCATGATTGATTCTCCTCGTTGAATAAAGGACAGAGTCGAACCAGTGGGCGGCGATAACATCCTGTGGTAGTTTTCACATCTGCGACGCGAGATATCCCATCAGCTCCTGGGTACAGTTTAGTAACTCGACCAGAGCGCCAACACGAAGTGAATCATCACAGAGTAACACTAAATCTCCAACCTCTAGTCTGGTTGTGTCTTGCCTCCATTTAGTTCGGACCTGTAATTCCGCCAAATACTCCTTCTGCCATCTTTTCCAGAAGTGTTGTCGCAGTTTCTCAAGGTGATTGTAGCGGTTAAGGCGGCTTTCATTAACAGCTTCCAAAGCGGGTGACGGCAGCGAATTCAGTGGTCTTCCGATGAGAAAGTGCCCTGGGGAGAGGAAAAGGAGATCGTCAGGTGAAGGAGATAAAGGGCACAAGGGACGACTATTCATTATAGCCTCCACTTGTGCAAACAACGTAGTGATTTCCTCAAAAATTAAATGAGCCGTTCCCATGACACGCCTCAAAATTCCTTTAGATATTTTGATTAAAGACTCCCAAATGCCACCGAAGTGAGGAGCATAGGATGGTGTAAATGTAAATTTGATGCCTTCACTAGCAGCAAACTCAGACAGTATTTCATTTTGTTGATTTTGAAAACAAAGTAATTCTTTTGCGGCTCCTACAAAATTGCGACCATTGTCGGAGAATATATTTGTTGGGCGTCCTCGACGTGAAATAAATCTACGCAATGATAGTAAAAATGATATTTTTGACAGATCAGTTACTGCCTCCAAATGAATGCATTTATACCTAAAACAAACGAATAGGCACAAATAACATTTTGATAATTTTGAACCGCGTCCTTTACGATTTGTAATATAAAATGGCCCCGCCATATCTATGCCTACAGTTACAAACGGAAAATCGGGGTTAACGCGATGCGATGGGAGATCACCCATTTTAGGAATTAAAGATTTTCCCTTTACCCGCTGACATCGTATGCATCTGCGAACAGTGCTTCGAGCGACATGTCTACCCTTTATAGGCCAAAAAGTTTGTCGAACAGTAGCTAAGAGTAGCTGTGGGCCTGCATGTAAATTTCGAATGTGTTCGAAATTGAATATTAGTTTGCATAAATGGTGTGATGAATCCAAGAGAATCGGATGTCTTTGACCATAAGTAAGATTCGATTTCTCTATGCGACCACCTACGCGAATCAAATTGTCTTCATCCACGAACGGAGATAAAGATAAAATTTTAGATTTCGAACTTAACTGTTTCTTATCTTTTAGTTTATTATATTCAATTGGAAAACATTGTTGTTGAGCAATGAAACACAATGTTTTTTGAGAGTTACTTAACTCATCAGCAGTTAAAATACCAGTTAGCTTATTCTCTGGAAATTTTGTGTTATTGATAAATCGTTTAACATAAGCTACTGTTCTTTGCAATCTAAGAAAGTTAGAAAATCGTTCAAAATTAATGATTGCTTCGGAAATTGTTATTGAAGCAACTGTTTTAACTTCTAGTAAATTATTGTGATTATTTAGCTTGAAGGCAGGCCAATCAATTTCGGCCTTTAATAAAAACTCTGGACTATGCCACCACAAACTTGAGCCTTGCAATAAACCGGCATCAATACCTCTTGAAATCAAATCAGCCGGATTGTCAGATGTAGGTACTAACGCCAACCAGATGACTGCGTAGTATCTTGTATTTCGGCAATTCTGTTTGCAACAAAGGTCTTTAGTCTTGAAGCGTTGCCCCCCAACCAAGCCAAAACAACAGTGGAATCACACCAATGGACTATGCGATCAGGGACTAGCCTTAATGATTGAGTTACTGTTTTCCACAAACGAGCCGCAAGAAGTGCACCACAAAGCTCCAAGCGAGGAATAGTGATAGGCTTGAGTGGTGCTACCCTTGACTTGGAACATAAAAGGCGCACAATTAAAGCACCATTTTTGTCTTTGGTTTTTAAATAAATGCAAGAGCCATATCCTACCTGTGAAGCATCACTGAAAGTATGGATTTCAATTGAATCTGGCAGTGTACTAAGTACATGACATGGTATTTGAAAGGTTGATAAAACAGATAACCCCCTAGAAAATTCCATCCAGGCAATCCCAACATCACCAGGGACAGGTTCGTCCCAGTCCACCTTGTAGTGCCATAATTTCTGAAGCATTAATTTGGCTTGCATTATGAATGGACTTATAAGTCCTAATGGATCAAAAATTTTAAAAGCATTTGACATAATGTACCTTTTCGTTATGATGGTATCATCTTTAATAGATGTCATATTGATAGGGAAGTGTAGTGTGTCAGTGTTTGGATTCCAACCCAAACCTAGAGTGCTTGAAGACTCACTAATAGTTAAATTTTCTTGTAAAGTGATATTTGGAGCATCTTCAAAAATGGCAGGTAAATTAATTTTGTATTTACGCAGCTTAAAACATCCTTTCAGTAATTGTAAAGCAACAGAATTTTGAATATGCCTTAATTCATTTTTATCATTAGAACCGGTTATGAGATCATCTATATAGAAATCCCCCTGAATTATTATTTTTATCAAATTGTCATCACAATCCTCCCCTAGTTCATATAAACAACGTGTACTAAGATAACTGGCACTTGCTGTACCATATGTTACAGTATTTAATTGTAAAGTTTTGATCGGTAAAGTCTCATTCTCTCTCCACAAAATTAATTGCAGATTTCGGTCTTTAGGATTAAATTCCACTTGTCGATACATTTTTTCGATATCTCCCGTAAGTAAATATTTGTACGTACGTGCACGAATTAGAATGGAGAAAAGTGAGTCCTGTACATTAGGACCTATCATTTGTAGGTCGTTGACTGAAAAACCAGAGGAAGAAGGTGCCGACCCATCAAACACGACCCTGATTTTAGTGGATTCGCTATGTATCTTAAACACGGCATGATGACAAAGAAAATATGAATAATCCGGCAATGAAACAGGAGACACTGAAAGATGACCAAGAGCTTCGTACTCCCTAATGAATTCAGAATATTGCAATTTCAAAGAAGGATTTTTTCTAAAACGTTTTTCTAAATGCAGAAAACGCCTTTTTGCAAGATCGAGTGAATCACCTAAACAGTCGGGTGAGTCTTTCAGTGGCAACCTTACACAGAACCTGCCTGATTTTAATCGTGTAGTATGCGTCAAAAAATGACTTTCACATGCCATTTCAGTTTCACTCAAACTGGACCTATGGGGCACCTCCTCCAGCTCCCAAAATTTTGTAATCAAATTATCGATGTCCATTTCCTTGGATGAATTTTGATGAAGTAATAAACTATTGCAATACAGTTCCTTTCTGGGAATGATTACGGAACCACCAATGAGCCAACCAAATTTAGAATTTTGGAGATTTGGTTTATTTTTGCCTAACGATTTTTGTTCACATACTAAAATATCCCAAAAGAGATCTGCACCTATCAGAAGGTCGATCGGACCAGGCTGGTCAAAGTTGGGGTCCGCTAATTTCAAATTCGTAGGTATATTTAGTTCATTTAAACTTATTGGAGCCTTTGGAAGATCTCCTGTGAGCTCATGCATAACAAAGCAAGATAGATACTCTTTGTAATTACAATTTTTCGATTTTATTTCAACAACACAAGCTTCACTTACCTTATTAACGGTGTTGTTGCCGATTCCTATAACATTTGTTGAAGTGGGTTTAGATTTTAATGCTAATTTTTGCTGTAGTGATTTTGTAATAAAAGATGACTGACTACCTGAGTCCAATAAGGCGCGCACCGTGATATTCTTTTTTGTGATTGGATTTGTTAATTCAATCAAGGCAGTAGATAATATAATATGTTTCGAATTATTGTCCTGAGTGAAATTAACAATGGACTCGCAGTCCTGAATTTGCGCATTGTTGGCTTTAGTGGCTTCAACTGAATGCAGCAATGTATTGTGGCGCTTGTTACACTGCCTACAGGGACCCATGCGACATTCACTCACCGGGTGACCTTGACGTAAACAGTTATAACATAATTTGTATTTAGACACATCGGATAATTTATCTTCTAATGATTTTGATTTAAAAATAGGACAATCGTATATTTTATGGTTTTTATCGCAAATTATACACCGACATGTACTAGTATGAGCATGTTGTTGATTTATTGTTGCGTAAGATTTCGTTCGAAAGGTTTGCTTATGATTGTTTGATTGAAAATTCTGAGAATGTTTTGTAGAATTATTGTTATTATTAAAATTTATGCATTTCTTATTATTTGTAGCCTCAAGAATGTGAGCCCTATCAATTAAAAATGATTTGAATTCCTCTAAGCTTGGAAATTCATTTAAATTATTTCTATGTTCTTCCCATTTT